GTACGGACGGATTCAACCAGCGTCACCGCACCATCACAGCTGACTCATAAATACAATAGTTGGTCCTGTCAACCCAGTCTGGTGCATTTAGCTTTGGTCTTGTGCATCTGGCTGCAGTCTGGTGCATGTGCCTTTGGTACTGTGCATCTGGCTGCAGTCTGGTGCATGTGCCTTTGGTACTGTGTATCTGGCTGCAGTCTGGTGCATGTGCCTTTGGTACTGTGTATCTGGCTGCAGTCTGGTGCATGTGCCTTTGGTACTGTGTATCTGGCTGCAGTCTGGTGCATGTGCCTTTGGTACTGTGTATCTGGCTGCAGTCTGGTGCATGTGCCTTTGGTACTGTGTATCTGGCTGCAGTCTGGTGCATGTGACTTTGGTACTGTGTATCTGGCTGCAGTCTGTGCATGTGCCTTTGGTACTGTGTATCTGGCTGCAGTCTGGTGCATGTGCCTTTGGTACTGTGTATCTGGCTGCAGTCTGGTGCATGTGCCTTTGGTACTGTGTATCTGGCTGCAGTCTGGTGCATGTGCCTTTGGTCTTGTGCATCTGGCTGCAGTCTGGTGCATGTGCCTTTGGTACTGTGCATCTGGCTGCAGTCTGGTGCATGTGCCTTTGGTACTGTGCATCTGGCTGTAGCTAGATGCATCTGGCTCGAGTCTAATGCATCTAGTTATGTTCTGGTCGTAATCTGGCTCTGGTCTGGTCTCTCTGGTTGCTTTGGGTAGAGGATCGAATCTCCACCGTAACAAGAGAAAAAGAGAGAGCACTAGACTGTTAAGTCCTCTGCTATCTTCAAAGCTATCAGAAGATAGCTTTGAGCAGCTATCCGCTGAGAAAAGCTATCTACTTGTACACTGGTGTACAAGAGAAAGCTACAACAGGGCTTGAAAGTCTACATATAGGCTATTTGCTGAGGAAAAACTATCTTCTCTCAAGTGCTACTGTATATTATCTGGATACGAGTCAGTTATTATTAATATCCGTTGTATGACCTACATTATATATATATTTATATATTTCTACAAGTACATGTACAAGGTATACAAGTACATGTACCAGGTATACTAGTACATGTACAAGGTATACAAGTACATGTACAAGGTATACAAGTACATGTACAAGGTATACAAGTACATGTACAAGGTATACAAGTACATGTACAAGGTATACAAGTACATGTACAAGGTATACAAGTACATGTACAAGGTATACAAGTACATGTACAAGGTATACAGATCATAGCTGACATCAGTGACATACTACTATATAGAAAGTCCCTTGTTATGCTGAGCATTTCCCGCAAATTAGGTCAGTTTTGTCCCAGGATGCGACCCACACCAGTCCACTAACACCCAGGATGTGACCCACACCAGTCCACTAACACCCAGGATGTGACCCACACCAGTCCACTAACACCCAGGATGCGACCCACACCAGTCCACTAACACCCAGGATGCGACCCACACCAGTCCACTAACACCCAGGATGTGACCCACACCAGTCCACTAACACCCAGGATGTGACCCACACCAGTCCACTAACACCCAGGATGCGACCCACACCAGTCCACTAACACCCAGAATGTGACCCACACCAGTCCGCTAACACCCAGGATGCGACCCACACCAGTCCACTAACACCCAGGATGTGACCCACACCAGTCCACTAACACCCAGGATGTGACCCACACCAGTCCACTAACACCCAGGATGCGACCCACACCAGTCCACTAACACCCAGGATGTGACCCACACCAGTCCACTAACACCCAGGATGCGACCCACACCAGTCCACTAACACCCAGGTACCCATTTTACTGTTTGGTGAGCATAGACAACCGGTGTAAAGAAACACGCCCAATGTTTCTACCCCTACCGGGAATCGAACCTGGATCCTCGCTGTGTGAAGCGAGAGCTTTAGCCACCCCGTGGCCTGGTGGCTAAAGGGACAGGACTCGCAGCAATGGTTTTAAGTTGGAAAAATTCAGATTCAGGAAGGATATAGGAAAGTACTGGTTTGGTAATAGAGTTGTGGATGAGTGGAACAAACTCCCAAGTACCGTTATAGAGGCCAGAACGTTGTGTAGCTTTAAAAATAGGTTGGATAAATACATGAGTGGATGTGGGTGGGTGTGAGTTGGACCTAATAGCTTGTGCTACCAGGTCGGTTGCCGTGTTCCTCCCTTAAGTCAATGTGACCCGACCTGACTAGGTTGGGTGCATTGGCTTAAGCCGGTAGGAGACTTGGACCTGCCTCGCATGGGCCAGTGGGCCTGCTGCAGTGTTCCTTCGTTCTTATGTTCTTAAATATGAACATTAAAATGGTATAAAATGCCGACAGGTTGTTAGGTAATACCCTTGTATTATTGCAGTATAATGTGATCCTTTATTGACAACGTTTCGCCCACTGTGTTACCTGGAGAGTTTACCTGGAGAGAGTTTCGGGGGTCAATGCCCCCGCGGCCCGGTCTGTGACCAGGCCTCCTGGTGGATCAGCGCCTGATCAACCAGGCTGTTGCTGCTGGCTGCACGCAAACCAACGTACGAGCCACAGCCCGGCTGATCAGGAACTGACTTTAGGTGCTTGTCCAGTGCCAGCTTGAAGACTGCCAGGGGTCTGTTGGTAATCCCCCTTATGTGTGCTGGGAGGCAGTTGAACAGTCTCGGGCCCCTGACACTTATTGTATGGTCTCTTAACGTGCTAGTGACACCCCTGCTTTTCATTGGGGGGATGGTGCATCGTCTGCCAAGTCTTTTGCTTTCGTAGTGAGTGATTTTCGTGTGCAAGTTCGGTACTAGTCCCTCTAGGATTTTCCAGGTGTATATAATCATGTATCTCTCCCTCCTGCGTTCCAGGGAATACAGGTTTAGAAACCTCAAGCGCTCCCAGTAATTGAGGTGTTTTATCTCCGTTATGCGCGCCGTGAAAGTTCTCTGTACATTTTCTAGGTCGGCAATTTCACCTGCCTTGAAAGGTGCTGTTAGAGTGCAGCAATATTCCAGCCTAGATAGAACAAGTGACCTGAAGAGTGTCATCATGGGCTTGGCCTCCCTAGTTTTGAAGGTTCTCATTATCCATCCTGTCATTTTTCTAGCAGATGCGATTGATACAATGTTGTGGTCCTTGAAGGTGAGATCCTCCGACATAATCACTCCCAGGTCTTTGACGTTGGTGTTTCGCTCTATTTTGTGGCCAGAATTTGTTTTGTACTCTGATGAAGATTTAATTTCCTCATGTTTACCATATCTGAGTAATTGAAATTTCTCATCGTTGAACTTCATATTGTTTTCTGCAGCCCACTGAAAGATTTGGTTGATGTCCGCCTGGAGCCTTGCAGTGTCTGCAATGGAAGACACTGTCATGCAGATTCGGGTGTCATCTGCAAAGGAAGACACGGTGCTGTGGCTGACATCCTTGTCTATGTCGGATATGAGGATGAGGAACAAGATGGGAGCTAGTACTGTGCCTTGTGGAACAGAGCTTTTTACCGTAGCTGCCTCGGACTTTACTCTGTTGACGACTACTCTCTGGTTCTGTTAGTGAGGAAATTATAGATCCATCGACCGACTTTTCCTGTTATTCCTTTAGCGCGCATTTTGTGCGCTATTACGCCATGGTCACACTTGTCGAGGCTTTTGCAAAGTCTGTATATATTACATCTGCATTCTTTTTGTCTTCTAGTGCATTTAGGACCTTGTCGTAGTGATCCAGTAGTTGAGACAGACAGGAGCGACCTGTTCTAAACCCATGTTGCCCTGGGTTGTGTAACTGATGGGTTTCTAGATGGGTGGTGATCTTGCTTCTTAGGACCCTTTCAAAGATTTTTATGATATGGGATGTTAGTGCTATTGGTCTGTAGTTCTTTGCTGTTGCTTTACTGCCCCCTTTGTGGAGTGGGGCTATGTCTGTTGTTTTTAGTAACTGAGGGACGACCCCCGTGTCCATGCTCCCTCTCCCTAGGATGGAAAAGGCTCGTGATAGGGGCTTCTTGCAGTTCTTGATGAACACAGAGTTCCATGAGTCTGGCCCTGGGGCAGAGTGCATGGGCATGTCATTTATCGCCTGTTCGAAGTCATTTGGCGTCAGGATAACATCGGATAGGCTTGTGTTAATCAAATTTTGTGGCTCTCTCATAAAAAATTCATTTTGATCTTCGACTCTCAGTCTGGTTAGCGGCTTGCTAAAAACTGAGTCATATTGGGACTTGAGTAGCTCACTCATTTCCTTGCTGTCATCTGTGTAGGACCCATCTTGTTTAAGTAGGGGCCCAATACTGGGCGTTGTTCTCGATTTTGATTTGGCATAGGAGAAGAAATACTTTGGGTTTCTTTCGATTTCATTTATGGCTTTTAGTTCTTCCCGCGATTCCTGACTCCTAAAGGATTCTTTTAGCTTAAGTTCGATGCTTGCAATTTCTCTGACCAGTGTCTCCCTGCGCATTTCAGATATATTGACCTCTTTTAGCCGCTCTGTTATTCTTTTCCGTCGCCTGTAAAGGGAGCGCCTGTCTCTTTCTATTTTACATCTACTCCTCCTTTTTCTTAGAGGAATAATCCTTGTGCATACATCGAGTGCCACCGAGTTAATCTGTTCTAGGCATAAGTTTGGGTCTGTGTTGCTTAGTATATCTTCCCAGCTTATATCGGTTAGGACTTGGTTTACTTGGTCCCACTTTATGTTTTTGTTATTGAAGTTGAATTTGGTGAATGCTCCCTCGTGACTAGTCTCATTTTGTCGGTCTGGGGCTCCTCGTATACATGTCTGAACCTCAATTATGTTGTGATCTGAGTATATTGTTTTTGATATGGTGACATTTCTTATCAGATCATCATTGTTAGTGAATATGAGGTCTAGTGTATTCTCCTGTGTATTCTTCTGTGTGGGTGAAACGTTGTCAATAAAGGATCACATTATACTGCATATGTGTTTATATTTCCACTGTGTCGGTATTTGATACCATTTATTTCCATACCATTCACGTACAGTTGTCTTCTTAACAGGAACACAGTGGCCTCTCCCATCTGCCCAGAGCGCAATGAAATAACTGAAGAAGACCTCAACAAGTGCAAGTACGGCGTCGTGCTGGGATGGTGCGGTAATGCTGTGTGCGGCAAGGTCAGTGATCTAATGCACCCAGCATCCTTATCTTGAAAGTTAAGACACATGTGCAACATCTGGATATCTTTATTGTAGACGTTTCGCCATCCAGTGGCTTTATCAATACAGATTCTAGGACATAATAGGAAGACAGTAGAACTATATACAAAAGATGAGGTAATCAGTCCCTCGGCCTTGGAGTTAGTGTTCACAGCATCGTGGTGGAGGAGAATCTGGAGCAAAGGCAAGAAGACTGGCGGTTATATAGGTGTCAGTGGATAGGGACGGGCAGCAGACGAGGGCAGTCACTGGTAGGCGGGATTCCCCAGTGGAAGTAGGTCCTTCCCAAAGAGATGGGTTAGTTGCAGCAGCCGTGAAGAAGGTCTTGTAGATGTCCTCTGAACCAAGATTCCATCATGGAATCCTTATCTTACTTTAATGTCACCTACGTCTTGTTACTAACCTTTTATTTCACATGGGTACGCCAGCACTATGCAGCTACTCTATATGTTGCTCTGTACGAATAAAAGCTGGTTAAGTATCTCAGTCGTTTTGATTCACACTGTATTTAGTAAATATAAGAATGGAAATATAAACACATATGCAGTATGTACATTAAAATGGTATATAATACCGACAGGTTGTCAGGTAAGACACATATGCAACAGTTAGTTATAGTCAGACTATAGAACAATGCTCTTCTCCAGACTGAGGGACTGACCACCTCAAAACTTTAAGGGTGATGGACTGATTACATCGTCTTCAAGTATCTTCTGCTTCTATCAACTTTTCTGTACTCGACTGAAGAAGCCTACTGTGTAGGCGAAACGTTTCGAAATAAAGATACCTAACTGTTGCATATGCGGCTTACCTGACAACATATGCAATATAATGTGATCCTTTATTGACAACGTTTCGCCCACACAATGGGCTTTTATATCCTTTTACTCATGTACGAATTAATTGCTCTACCATATTGTATTACTTTTGTCACTACCACTACTACTACTACTACTACTACTACTACTACTACTACTACTACTACTACTACTACTACTACTACTACTACTACTACTACTACTACTACTACTACTACCACCACTAGTGAACATCGAAATGGTACCTCACTAGTATTCACCTCACTCTGAGCCTTTATATACCCTCTGTGTCCATGTATTGTTTGTAATGGCTTGATAAAGCTCCTGGAGAGCGAAACGTTGCCACAATAAATGTCACATTAGTTGCACTTGTGTCCTTTTACTTTACATATTGTCGGTAATTCTACCAACTTTATTACAAACCAACTTGTCGGTGAGATTAAGACACATGTGCAACATCTGGGTATCTTTATTGTAGACGTTTCGCCATCCAGTGGCTTTATCAATACAAATTCTAGGACATAACTTGAAGACAGTAGAACTATGTACAGAAGATGAGGTAATCAGTCCCTCAACCTAGGAGTAGGTGCGAAGAGCACCATAGTCGTGGAGATTCTGAAGCTGAAGAAAGGATCCTGGCGCTACGACAACTACTACTACAACTAACCCATCTCTTTGGGAAGGACCTACTTCCACTGGGGAATCCCGCCTACCAGTGACTATGCCCTCGTCTGCTACACCTGACGTTACTATATAAGCGCCAGGATCCTTTCTTCTGCTTCAGAATCTCCACGACTATGGTGCTGTTCGCACCTACTTCTAGGTTGAGGGACTGATTACCTCATCTTCTGTACATAGTTCTACTGTCTTCAAGTTATGTCCTAGAATTTGTATTGATAAAGCCACTGGATGGCAAAACGTCTACACAAGGGTATCTTGGTACAGACCTGCAATCAACTTCGACAACTTCCACTAGTGAGAGCGGCTGGATTTGAGAGGGACCTGACCTTTCAACATCTGAGTTCTTACCTCTCCTAGTGGCCTACGTCTCACCTCTTGGCGCTATAAAAAGCTCCATTCTGTCACTTCATCTCCATATTGTTTCATACTATGGAACAATGCTCTTCTCCAGACTGAGGGACTGACCACCTCAAAACTTTAAGGGTGATGGACTGATTACATCGTCTTCAAGTATCTTCAACTTTTCTGTACTTGACTGAAGAAGCCTACTGTGTAGGCGAAACGTTTCATAATAAAGATACCTAACTGTTGCATATGTGTCTTACCTAACAACCTGTCGGTATTTTATACCATTTTAATGTTCAAAACGTCTACAATAAAGATACCCAGATGTTGCACATGTGTCTTAATCTCATCTTGTCGGTATTGTATACCATTCGTAGACAATAAATATGTCATAGTGTTTGCTTACGTGTCTTTCTAAACCAACTTGTCGGTATTTATTACCAAGGTTTATACCAACTAGTCTGCTATTTTTAGGTTTACTGGCCGTGGGTTTCAATCCTGCCAGTTTCATGAATCCTGAATAACACCATGGGAGATTTCTTATACAGTGAATCATCTCTGTCATCCTTCTTTGTATTTTCTCCAATGAATTTATATCCATCCTGTAGTAATGAGATCGAAACCGAGCAACATAATCGAAGCGAGGAAATAAAAAACTGGTTCTATCCCCGCCCGTGGTATGGTTTCTTTGCATTCGTGTCATTACGATTTCGTGAGTCAAAGTGAGGCCTTACTAGTGATGCATAGAGCTGCAAAATAACTTTTCGACTCCTGTTACTTATATTTGGTAAGACACATGTGTAACAGTTAAGCAGCTTTACTCCGAAACGTTTCGCCTACACAGCAGGTTTCTTCAGTTGAGTACAGAAAAGTTGGCAGAAGCAGTAGAGATGTGAAGACGATGTAATCAGTCCATCCTTGAAGAAGTAGTTCAAAGCCCTAACAACTCCAAGGCTGAGGGACTGATTACCTCATCTTCTGGAGATATTTCTTCACATTATGTCCTTGTCTTGTACACTGATAAAACCAGTGGCTTGTGAAACGTGTACAAATAACGATACCCAGATGTTGCACACGTATCTAATTCCTCATTTTAATATAAGATCGAAGGAACACTCCAGCACTCTACTAGCTTATACACAAGTCTTTATCAAATCTAATCCAGACTTATTTATGTTTGAAGATTGAGACACTTATGCAGCATATGGGAATCTTTATTCAGGAAACGTTTCGCCACACAGTGGCTTCATCAGTCCAATACAAAGAGGAAGGCGTAAGGAGAGGAGGAGTATGAGGTAATCAGTCCCTCAACCTGGAGTCGATGTGTTCAGTCCATCAATCTTGTAGAATGTACAGCATAGGGCCGTAGACGTGGCTTATATACTGTAGTGAGGTGACTTGAAGCAGACGGAGGCGGGATCATAGTGGTACCATCCACTAGTCGAAGTAGGTCTTTGTCCAAAGGTTGAACAAGCGTTTATGTTTGCCAAGAGTTTTAATGAATTTACGTTACTTTTCAGGGTCCTGCAGAGACGTGCGGTGGCTGGTGGGATGAGAACGGCATCTGTGGTGAGGGCATGTACTGTGTGTGTGGGTACTGTGCAGGGTGCACCACCACTCTCGAGTGTGCACTCGGAAGATTCTGCTAGGTGTGATACTCTACCAGCTGCTCTCCAAGACGTCTGGTAAACATTCAGTGGCTTAACAGTAATTCACTAGAAGTCACTGCTCCCGACATGGTAAAGAGGAGCCTGTAAACATACCAAAAAAGCTCCCGTTTGGCATAAAAGGAATCCACAAACAGGCCAAGAGCCTCCTCTTGGGAATGACAGCAAGCAGACGCCTCTTGGGTCAACCAGCGACGTTTTCCCATTCATTTTAAAGCCAACAGACAAGCACCTCTTGAATTCACATACTTCTTTCCAGACAAATAATGTAAATAATATATAAAAATAACGCATCGCAATTCTTTTATACATGTGGCAATGATGCTTAGGACAGTGTTCCATACAGCATCGCAGACTTACTGCTTTGTGATATATTATGCTCTTGACCGAGCGGAAGCTATGTAACTTAATGGATCTCTAGGCAAGTCCGGACCTAACGAAGCCGGGGTTAATGAAACCGGGTCTGACGAAGCCAGGGTTAATGAAACCGGGTCTAACGAAGCCAGGGTTAATGAAACCGGGTCTAACGAAGCCGGGGTTAATGAAACCGGGTCTGACGAAGCCAGGGTTAATGAAACCGGGTCTGACGAAGCCAGGGTTAATGAAACCGGGTCTAACGAAGCCGGGGTTAATGAAACCGGGTCTGACGAAGCCAGGGTTAATGAAACCGGGCCTGACGAAGCCAGGGTTAATGAAACCGGGTCTAACGAAGCCGGGGTTAATGAAACCGGGTCTGACGAAGCCAGGGTTAATGAAACCGGGTCTGACGAAGCCAGGGTTAATGAAACCGGGTCTAACGAAGCCGGGGTTAATGAAACCGGGTCTGACGAAGCCAGGGTTAATGAAACCGGGCCTGACGAAGCCAGGGTTAATGAAACCGGGTCTAACGAAGCCGGGGTTAATGAAACCGGGTCTGACGAAGCCAGGGTTAATGAAACCGGGCCTAACGAAGCCGGGGTTAATGAAATTGGGCCTAACGAAGCCGGGGTTAATGAAATTGGGCCTAACGAAGCCGGGGTTAATGAAATAGGGCCTAACTAAGTCGGCCTTACAAAACCGGACTACCCAACCGACCTTTCGAACCGAGCCTCAAGAACCGGCCCATACCAACCAGACCTTCGGAACCGGGCTTCAGGAACCGGACCTTGCCGAACCAGCCAGTGATACATGTATACGTAAACCCATACCTGAAGCGTCTCAATGTTCTTAACAAATAAAATTTAAACAGTTTACTGAATTTATTTCTCCTAAGGTGAAGAATGATGAATATATCATCTTAGTAATTAGGGTCTATATGAAGATTATCTACTGAGATAATCCACTGGGATGATTATCTGCTGGGATACTCTAATGGGATGATTATCTACTGAGATAATCCACTGGGATGATTATCTGCTGGGATGATACTCTAATGGGATGATTATCTACTGAGATAATCCACTGGGATGATTATCTGCTGGGATGATACTCTAATGGGATGATTATCTACTGAGATAATCCACTGGGATGATTATCTGCTGGGATGATACTCTAATGGGATGATTGTCTACTGAGATAATCCACTGGGATGATTATCTGCTGGGATGATAATCCACTGGGATGATTATCTGCTGGGATGATTATCTTGTGAGATATTTATCTAATGGGATGAGCTCAAATTAAGTTGCAATAAATAAGTGTCGAAGAATAAACATAAAAGTGGACGAGGGGCTCGAACCGTGGTCCGTAAATTGATGCCTAGATTAGCCTAAACGGTAGAACGTCGGAGTGCCAATTTATGGACCGCGGTTCGAAGGCCTCGTCCACTCTGTTTATTCATTTACTGGGATGATTATCTACTGGGATATTCACAGCACCGTTTTTAGTACCGTAGTCTTGATAAACCTGAAGCACAGGCAGGAAGAAGTGGGCTTATATACTGGAGTCAGATGACGTGCAGCAGCTGGAGGTACTGTCATTGGTAGGAGGGGTCCACCAGCGGAAGCTCATGCTTAGCTGTTACGCATAAGCTATTTCAGTTACATCAGTACTGTACACCAGCTCTGCTAGACTGGGGGACTGATTACCTATGTTGTTAGGTAAGACACATATGCAACAGTTTGGTATCTTTATTTCGAAACGTTTCGCCTACACAGTAGGCTTCTTCAGTCGAGTACAGAAAAGTTGATAGAAGCAGAAGATACTTGAAGACGATGTAATCAGTCCATCACCCTTAAAGTTTTGAGGTGGTCAGTCCCTCAGTCTGTACTCGACTGAAGAAGCCTACTGTGTAGGCGAAACGTTTCATAATAAAGATACCTAACTGTTGCATATGTGTCTTACCTGTTGCGCATGTGTCTAATTGTTTACCATAGATATTATAACTTTATCATGGTAAAAATCCATGAGATATCGGTGAAGTTGACAGGAGGAGGCCTGGTCACAGACCGGGCCGCGGGGGCGTTGATCCCCGGAACTCTCTCCAGGTAAACTCCAGGTATATTATTTACTTATTTATAAATTTATTAATTTGAACATGATACAGGGAAGTACAAAGGAATACAATAAAGGACCTGCCTAGTATGCTAAAGGACCTGCCTAGTATGGGCCAACAGGCCTGCTGCAGTGTTCCTCCTTTCTTATGTTCTTATGTTAAGTGCAACATAATCAAGGGGAAGCGCTAAACCCGTAGGATTATACAGCGCCTGTGGGGGGGGATGTGGAACGGATTCAGGCTTAATTCAGGGAACTGGAGCGCAGATCCAATTAGCTAGATCAAGAGCCCCTCCCCAGCATCAAGGAACCTTCTAAGAGGGGTAAGCAGTACAGCTCCTTAGAGAGAACAAGAAGATTTATCTTATTTCTTGGGTAATTTTGCGTAGAGGTCGTTATGATAAGGACCTGCCTTGTATGGGCCAGTAGGCCTTCTGCAGTGTTCCTCCATTCTTATGTTCTAAGACGATAAAAGCGAGGGGAAATACTCATAATTATGATTTATTCTTGATGTCAGGTAGGCCTATATAACTTGTATATGTACTCAGGGCCGGATTACCGCATAGGCAAACCAGGCATTTGCCTAGGGCCCCGCGCATTTGGGGGCCCCGCGGTCCAAGGGGTTCAGGGGCTCATCCAAGACTGTGCACATGGTGCAAGTGCAAAGGGGTCCCTACCTAAAAAGTTCAAGTGTTTGGAGAGTGGTATAAACCTTGGTAATAAATACCGACAAGTTGGTTTAGAAAGACACGTAAGCAAACACTATAACATATTTATTAGAAAACGTTTCGGTCCTGGGACCTTGATCACTTCTAACATACAGAGGTAGAAAGACATTATATATAGGCGGAGAGTGAGGTGTGACGCACGTGACCTGAGGAATGTCATAAGAACATAAGAATGGAGGAGAGTAAAATTGATTTTTAAAAATTAATCAAAACAAAAATAAACAATGAAATAAAATAAAATAAAAATAAATAAACCGAACCATAGATGGCAACACTCAACACGCCTTTGTTTACATCAGAACAGCTGTGTTCACGCCTTTGTTTACATCAGAACAGCTGTGTTCACGCCTTTGGTTACATCAGAACAGCTGTCTTCACGCCTTTGTTTACATCAGAACAGCTGTGTTCACGCCTTTGTTTACATCAGAACAGCTGTGTTCACGCCTTTGTTTACATCAGAACAGCTGTGTTCACGCCTTTGTTTACATCAGAACAGCTGTGTTCACGCCTTTGTTTACATCAGAACAGCTGTGTTCACGCCTTTGTTTACATCAGAACAGCTGGTTCACGCCTTTGTTTACATCAGAACAGCTGTGTTCACGCCTTTGTTTACATCAGAACAGCTGTGTTTCACGCCTTTGTTTACATCAGAACAGCTGTGTTCACGCCTTCGTTTACATCAGAACAGCTGTGTTCACGCCTTTGTTTACATCAGAACAGCTGTGTTCACGCCTTCGTTTACATCAGAACAGCTGTGTTCACGCCTTTGTTTACATCAGAACAGCTGTGTTCACGCCTTCGTTTACATCAGAACAGTGTGTTCACGCCTTGTTTACATCAGAACAGCTGTGTTAAACGCCTTCGTTTACATCAGAACAGCTGTGTTCACGCCTTTGTTTACATCAGAACAGCTGTGTTCACGCCTTCGTTTACATCAGAACAGCTGTGTTCACGCCTTTGTTTACATCAGAACAGCTGTGTTCACCTCCTTTGTTTACATCAGAACAGCTGTGTTCACGCCTTTGTTTACATCAGAACAGCTGTGTTCACGCCTTTGTTTACATCAGAACAGCTGTGTTCACGCCTTTGTTTACATCAGAACAGCTGTGTTCACGCCTTTGTTTACATCAGACAGCTGTGTTCACGCCTTTGTTTACATCAGAACAGCTGTGTTCACGCCTTCGTTTACATCAGAACAGCTGTGTTCACGCCTTTGTTTACATCAGAACAGCTGTGTTCACGCCTTCGTTTACTTCAGAACAGCTGTGTTCACGCCTTCGTTTACATCAGAACAGCTGTGTTCACGCCTTCGTTTACATCAGAACAGCTGTGTTCACGCCTTCGTTTACATCAGAACAGCTGTGTTCACGCCTTCTTTTACATCAGAACAGCTGTGTTCACGCCTTCGTTTACATCAGAACAGCTGTGTTCACGCCTTCGTTTACATCAGAACAGCTGTGTTCACGCCTTCGTTTACATCAGAACAGCTGTGTTCACGCCTTTCGTTTACATCAAAAACAGCTGTGTTCACGCCTTTGTTTACATCAGAACAGCTGTGTTCACGCCTTTGTTTACATCGGAACAGCTGTGTTCACGCCTTTGTTTACATCAGAACAGCTGTGTTCACGCCTTTGTTTACATCGGAACAGCTGTGTTCACGCCTTTGTTTACATCAGAACAGCTGTGTTCACGCCTTGTTTTACATCGGAACAGCTGTGTTTCACAGCCTTTGTTTACATCAGAACAGCTGTGTTCACGCCTTGTTTACATCGGAACAGCTGTGTTCACGCCTTTGTTTAATCAGAACAGCTGTGTTCACGCCTTTGTTTACATCAGAACAGCTGTGTTCACGCCTTTGTTTACATCAGAACAGCTGTGTTCACGCCTTTGTTTACATCAGAACAGCTGTGTTCACGCCTTTGTTTACATCAGAACAGCTGTGTTCACGCCTTTGTTTACATCAGAACAGCTGTGTTCACGCCTTTGTTTACATCAGAACAGCTGTGTTCACGCCTTTGTTTACATCAGAACAGCTGTGTTCACGCCTTTGTTTACATCAGAACAGCTGTGTTCACGCTTTGTTTCATCAGAACAGCTGTGTTAGCCTTTGTTTACATCAGAACAGCTGTGTTCAGCCTTTGTTTACATCAGAACAGCTGTGTTCACGCCTTTGTTTACATCAGAACAGCTGTGTTCACGCCTTTGTTTACATCAGAACAGCTGTGTTCACGCCTTTGTTTACATCAGAACAGCTGTGTTCACGCCTTTGTTTACATCAGAACAGCTGTGTTCACGCCTTCGTTTACTTCAGAACAGCTGTGTTCACGCCTTTGTTTACATCAGAACAGCTGATATCCCCCCAATTGACAAAAAAAATTAATAATAATTAAAAAATTAATAATAATTAAAAAAATAATAATAATTAAAAAATTAATAATAATTAAACAATTAATGATAATCGATATTGAAAAGTTTGTATTTGCATGATTACAGACAGTGGTACATCCTCATTATGGCATCTCGTGAACGTGATGTTGGACGTTCTTATGCTAGTGGGTCACAGAAAAGAAAGAAGAAAATTTAAGAAGAAGAACAGAAGAAGAAAGATGTCGGAAGCTGCAGAAAGATCACAGACATGCTCACGAAAACAGTTTCTGACGTTACCAGTACAGTTGAATCTGCAGATACGTCAGATCATTTGTAGATGAATGGTTCAGAGAACCGACATGTTGATAAATTAGACACATGTGCAACTCTTGGGTATCATTATTGAGGAAACGTTTCGCCACACAGTGGCTTCATCAGTCCATACGTAGGAGAAACTTGAAGAACAGGAGAAGAATGAGGTAATCAGTCCCTCAACCTTGAGTCGATGTGGTCAGTCCATCAATCTTTACGTTTCCTCAATAAAGATACCCAAGAGTTGCATATGTGTCTAATTTATCAACATGTCGGTTCTCTGAACCATTCATCTACAAACCTGTCAGACACTGCAACTTCTTGGGATCTTAATACTTGGGAATTCTTCGC